AGTGAAAACACAAAACCAAATGCAATGCAAGTTACCAGTGCTAATTGTGCAAGTTGATGTTTACTCTTCAGGCTAGTAAAAAGCCTAAAACATTTCTTTAAGTAGCTTCAAATCCAAGTCTCGATTGTTTCCAGGCAAAAAGCTTACATTCCTTGGTGAGATTAGCCTGTGCTTGAACATGAGCCTCACAGAATGGGCTGTATGCAGTTTAACCCATTTATTACAGGAAATATCAAGGACCAACACTGGAAAAGAAATCCTCTGCTCATTAAACAGAGACTGCTTACATTCTAGGAGTTTTTTTTCCAATTTTCACAGAGTCCTCCCTCTGGAAACATTCCACACCCACCTGGACACATTCCCATGTAACTTGCTCCAGGTGACCCTGCCTTGGAGCGGGGGGCTGGACTAGATGATCTCCAGAGGCTCCTTCCAACCCTAACAATTCTGTAATTATCTTCATTATTTATTTTCTTACCACTGGCAACCTATTACAGATCCTGGAGTATCCAAAACACCAGAATATGTGAACTGGAGTCCCTGTTAATGATAGCAGAGCAGGAGAAACTGGGCACAGTTCAATATCACAGCATTTTTGACCTTGTCTGTGGAGAAAATATAGGCTTGAAAATATCTAAACCAGACAAAGAAAATCGGGATAACCATATCTTTCACTGTTAGAAATATGCTGGTTTTGCCAGGTTAGCCTGCAGCAGCCTGTTGCAGATGCCACATTTCAACCAGGCATGGATTTTCTCTGTATCACAAAAGGACAAGGAAGCCACAAGACAACACATGGCTCAAACCCCAAATGAGCACATCCCCATTCAACAAGGCTGGTCTGTCTCTGCCGGCCAAAACTTTCCAGGAGGATGGACATTCTGCCTCCCCTTCTCATAAGGAGGAATAGCTTTCCTCAAGCATTACTGTACCTGTTGCACAATCTGCTGTAACTTACAGGCAGAAATTAATTCAGAAACAGAGCCAAATTAACTGTGTATGCAGACAATGTGAAGTTTTGTTTCCAATTAGAAAAAGCCCAGTATCAGCTGCTCCAACTACATTATTTTCTTCTATAACTCTGATACAGATGTTCTGAATTGCTCCACCTCCTTAAACACTCAAATACTTCACAATTAGTTGAATTGTGGATATGAGTCATCTAATTTCCTTTTCCAGTAAGGATCACTATTGGAAAATTGGCATACCAAGGCTAAGTAATCATATTACCAATGAAAATAATAACAAGTTCTGTCCTGGTGAATCAGTGCTCTGCTTTTTGCACAGTTTCTTAAAATAAGAATACTACATATAGCAGAATGAAAAGGGGGAACCAACTAAATTAACCTTATTACTCACAATCCATCTTTGAAACCAGAGTAAAACATGGGAAAAGTCAGTAATCCAATTAAAATGGGGGGGAAAAATCCTGAAACACCTTCCAGTAGTAAACCTTTGCCACAACGCATTCACTAGCAGCAGAAATTGGAAAAATCACTTATGGTCAAGGAAAAATGGTGACAAATGTATCAAGTTCAGCAGTATGAAACCTATGCCTACACCCTGACTTAAAAGTTCCATGTGAACTTTAAGGGCTGATCAACAAAGCAAAAGGCCTGAATCTGAGTTAACCTAGACTTTTATAATTTTCCTAGAATGCTTACATTTGCTTCCAAATGCAGCATTCTGGGAAGCAAAATGCTTTCAAGTACTTAGAAGTGCATTATTAACACACTCCAATGGAGTGCAATTTGTGTGTATGGACCTCTTGCAATGTGAAATACACTTAAAAGGATTGCCCAAAATGCACGCCTACCTCAACAGCATCTGGTACTCAATAGAAATGCAGGAAGACATTAATAGCAAAGGATGATACTAAAACGAAACCTAATGAAAACTGGTGCTTTGCTTGCACTTCTGCAGAAGGCCTACAATAAATGCAGCAAAAAGCAAAAGTACAAGCAAACTAGAAATTGTTCAGCTGGGCAAGACAACAAAGAATAAACAAACATTCCACCCGTAGCCCTTCCCTAACCCTGCCCCTTAGAATTAGGGTGTAATTGTGGCAGGACTTCCAAGCAGGGAGAAGAAACACCCAGACCAGAGTCCAGTGGCAAATCCACAGGTAGTTTGTGTCTTGCCCTCAGAAAGGGGAAGTTCTCTTAAAAAGAGAGGATTTGTGAGCAGTGTGCCAGGGTGGTAATTCAACCTAGAAATCAGCCTGATGCAAGAATGGGGAACTAAACACTTTCTGACCCATAAAGCCAGGAAATCATCACCTCCTTCTCAAGGGCAGTGTCAAAGTAATATTTGCAACTCCTAAGAAAGAACAGGGCACTAAAGTTGCCCTTTCTGTTTCCTGACATGTTACAAACTGTTCAAAGAGAATGCTTATCTTACTGGAGATACAAAGAAATATTCTAACTGAATCAGTCTTTCTCTTCACACAGTGAAGAATTAAACTAACATAGTCATCAAGAAATAAGGCAAAACCTGCCTTTTAAAAGAAATTGGCACCGAGAGAGAGGGTGGAGTATACCTTGCAGGCAAGGAAGCAGGGCAACTCTTCTAGAAGGAATTCAGCTTTCTACTTGGTTAAAAAAGCATAGAAACCTCAACATACACAACACAAAACCCCGGGCACTGTATGTAACTAAACAAAAACCTACTTGGTGTCCCACTGGCTGCAGTCACAGACTGTGTCATTCACTACAATTCCCAGTATTGAAACACCCAGTATTGAAATAGGACAGCTCAGTCATAAGTAATTTTGGAAAGTCCTGAGATGTGGTTTTCCTTCAGTCTTATCCAGGTGGCTTTTCAAGGACAGTATTCCTGTGAGTAATTACCACCTTTCTAATAAAATTGCCTAACAAGAAAGTAAGTTTGATGTCAAGTCTAGGCCGTTGCACAACACTGTTTTTTTAAAGCTGCAATGTAATTGAAAAGGAAAGGAGAAGTCACCTATCTTCTCAAGCTGAGACATCCATGGTTCTCTTTTTAAATATTCCACAGCTGAAAACAAAGATAATTAAAACAATTTAACTGCTCCTTCCTAAATGTTTTTTTCTGCCATTTACAAAGAGCAAGCCCTGACTTCAAGATAAGGCTCATGCTTGCTGTACCGGAACCACACATCTGAAGACAGAAGATCACCCTACCTGAGAAGGGGCATCCCTCCTCCAAAACATTTGTTACATTAAATCCTCCTCCTTGTCGAAGAGACCTCGCCAAAAGAGACCACGGCTCCAAGACATCCAGGTACCCCATTCACACCACCATGCCAGTGCCTATTGCCTTTAGCGCGGCTCCTTCCTCCCCCGCAGGTAAAGATGTGCCTGGACTTACACAGCTCGGGGGCTCCGCCGGCCCCGACCCCCGCCCGCCGCCCCCGCGGGCGATGCCGCTCGTACGGCCCCGCTCGCAGCCGGTACTGAACCCGCTCCGCCAGAGGTTCCGGGAAGGCCGGGCGGGCTCCCCCTGCAGCTGTCGGGGTCCCCCCTGCAGCTGTCGGGTCCTGTCCGAGCCCCCCCGAGCCCCGCCGCGCTTACCCCATGCTCGCCGCCGCTGCTCACCCCGCGCCCGCCGCCCGGCCCCGCGCACGTCACGGCGTCCGCACCGCCCCTTAAAGGGGAGCCCCAGCGCCGCCGCCGCGCTCCCGATCGCCCAAACCCACGCAGAGACAGACATCCATCAGCCAGAGCTGCGCCAGCTCGGGCGGCCCCAGCACAGGAAGGATGCGGAAGTGTTGGAGCGAGTCCAGGGAAAGCCATGTTGTCGATAGGAGGGCTGGAGCACCTTCCCTAAGGAGACAGGCTGGCACAGCTGGGGCTGTTCAGCCTGGAGAAGAGAAGGTTGTGTGGACACCTCCCAGCACCCTCCAGTGTCTGAAGGAGCTGCAGGGAACCGGAGAGGGGCTCTTTGTCAGGAACTAGAGTGACAGGACAGGGAGTAATGGATACAAATTGAAAGAGGGGAAATTTAAGTTGGCTATTAGGAAGAAAGTTTTTTACTGTGAAGGTGGTGATGCACTAGAACAGGCTGCCAACAGAACTGCTATCCTGGCAGTGTTCAAGGCCAGGTTGAATGGGCCTTCAGTAAGTGGGACATGTGTCCTTGGACACGGCAGGGGGAGGCTGGGAATAGATCATCCTTAACGTCCATTCCAACCCTGTAACATTCTGTGATTAATCCCTGCCCTCTCTTCATCACCTTTTGCACTGTGAAAAACTGGCACATTTTTTTACAGCAGGACTCCTGTCATCACCAATATAGGCTTAAAGGAATTCACTTCTTCCCAAGTTTGAAACAGATGGAGAAACATTGATAGAAACTAACTGCAAAAGATGCTAGAACACCAAGGAGATACTTCAAACAAAAGCAGATTTTCTTCCAGAGCCACTATGGATTCTCTGAGACTACAAAGCACAGAGAAATGGCCATAAACTAAAACAGAGGATGTCCTACCTCATCATGAGGAAGAACTTCTTTATGTTAAGAATGGCAGAGTACTGGAAAAGGCTGCCCAGAGAGTGCATGGAGTCTCCCGTCTTGAGACATTCAAGGCACACCTGGACACATTCCTATGTTACCTGCTCCAGCTGACCCTGCCTCCAGAGGTCCTCTGGATCTCCAGAGACCCTTCCAACCCCAGCTGTTCTGTGATTCTGTGCCAATGCTTCAACCTCCTATTCAGCAGGGAGGATGCAGATTATTATATAAAGAGACTGTTATGGTCTAAATAGCAATATCCAGCTTCTTCCTCCTGTCTCTCCTTCTTTCAACACACACAATTTTGAGTGCTCCACATTCTTAACACACAAATTAGTATTTCTATTTTTGTATTCTAGCAGCACAGAATCATGGAATTGTTTAGGCTGGGAAAGATCCTTAAGATCACTGAGTCCAACTGTTAATCCAGCACTGCCAGGTCTACACATCCTGATTACACAATGAAGAATCTCTACACAGATCCCATTTTAAAAGCTTGCATGGCTTACCTGAGGCCAGAAAAGCCGAAATCATCAGGATCCTCAAAAATATCTGTGTCGGAGATCCTGTAACAAGTGAATTAATCTCAAAAAATTTGAATTTATCATTTATTCAAGTTACCTAGCTAAGTTTCAAGTGCTTATGAAAGGTAATGTACACTAAAATGAGAGATTCTTTTTGTTGCCTGTGGTGCTAAATGTATGGATTTGACAATAGCCTGAGAGCACTCTCCCAAGGCAGTTTTGCAAAATCCAAAACCAAACAGACCATACATAGATTTGGAGCAGCTGTAGATAAATGCATTTACTGCATTATCCCCAAGTAACTAGACAGTGATTAACAACAAAAATCAACAAATACAGCATTTTACTAAGCTCACCTTCACCATTAACTAAGCTTAGTTTTACTCAGATATGCTCTGACACAGGCATCCCTGCTTTGGGGAGGAGAGAGGAGCAAGCACAGCAATTTGTCCACCAAGTGGGGCCATATTCTCATCCTCCACATGGAGAAAACAAAGCACCAGTTTTCTGAGGGTTTCTGTTACCTTCAAACTGAACCAAAGGCAGAAAAGAAGTGTGACATTTCAGTGTCACTCCCTCCTCCACCTGGGTAAGGATCTCTGACAGTCTTTGCTCCCACACTACTACTGCACATCGTCATGGCCTCCAAGGAACAGATCTGTATGTTGAACAAGTCCTCTTATGCCTGGGTAAAGGGGAGTGAGTGATGCTTGCTTTCCCTGCAGGAATGTGGGTGCTCTTCTGTGCTTCACAGAGACAAATCAAGCTCAGGCCAGTGTTTCACCCCAGACATCCTTCGGTGTTAAGCCCTGCCTGAGCCAGATGCAAGATAAGCAAGTGGTTCAGCTAAGTTTGTGCTCAACCAGCCTCATTCATTCTCCACAGCAAACCTGGCAATTTGCCACATTATCCACTCTGTCACTACAGTAATAACTCCACAATAGGTGGTTTTAGTGTGTCCTCTCTGCTCCTTTGGGATGCCTTTCACTTGGTAATATTCTCCATGTGGAGCAGGTACCAGTGGTACCTGTCTGGTGTCCTTGAGCATCCTAAAGTGTGAAGTTAAGCTTTCAATGACAAGGACTTTCCACATGATATAGTGATACTGACAATGACCATCATTTTAACAAACATCAAAGCATATTGTATCAGGCCTTGAAGCCCTCCCACAAAGGTAAAAAAAAGCATATTAAAGCTTCATCCCAACCAGTTGGTGGATGTGAGTTTCCTCATTTCCTCGGTGATCTTCTTTACAGCTTCCAGAGGGTCTTCTGCATCAGAAGATCTTCAGAAAAATTAAACAGAGTGTAAGTATTTGAAAATTATCAAGAAGACACATATCAGTTCATGTATTAATTTATCCATCTCATTATTCCCTTTCTACAGGTAAGTAACAAGCATTAATGTTGATCCCTGACAAATCTGATACAGATCTAAAAGAGAAAGGTCCTTTAGGAAGATTTAACCATTCAACAGCGTGTTTTTGTCATTTGATGACAGAATTGTAATGTGTTGTATACATTCAGTTTGCCTCATAACTTACATTAAGCTGATTGCACTGGAATTTTTGTTCATCAAATTTTAGGAATACATTAGAGAAGCAGTATCGATCCAGACAAGATCCACAGCAGAAATCAGGACAGGATTCTGCAAGTTGTACTTTGCCAAAACAACCAGTATATGCCTGACAATCCTCACCCAGAACTGAGAAGAGTTACAATATAATCACGCAAAGTCTTTCTTCTCATCCCAATCAGACCACCTAAGTTAACATTCAAATATGCTGAAAGTACTTGGGTCAGGTCTTACAAACCAAGTATTTCCTTTTGTGTACAGCAAGGGCAAATACTTCTTACACACAGATTATCTCATCTTCATCAAGCACCTCTGTAAGCACTAAACTGCATGAAAATATGAGATGCTGGTGTTACTTTCTTCACTATATCTGATAGTAGCTACCAAATTACTGTAAAAACTCAAAAAGCAACATGAATTGCCAAAACGGTTAAAAATACCAAAAGGCCCTAAAATCAGTTAGAATAAAATGTTACACTTTCCTAGAGATTTGACTTGATGAAAAAGATACAACACCACAGCATTCACTGCAGGTTGGGATTTCCGAGAGACTTGGTTATTTGTACCTGCTGCTTTGTTTACTTCAAAGAAAATCCTAATCCTGATCATCCATTGCACAAAACAGAGATGTCATACAACAGAATCTTAGAACTAAAATCAGTCCAGTAGCATTCCCACTGCAAGCATCACCTGGTGCAGCTCCAGTAGCAATCAATAGGGATGTTCATGTACCAGGATGGCTCCCTTAGGGAATATCCCACACCTGTCAGAACTGCGTTCCTTAAGAGACTGGCTTTTTTCTCTCTTTGCCCTTCCAAGCCAGTGTAACTGCACCATCAGCATCGCATATTAAAAGCTTTTAACTGCCACAAAAAATACTTCTCAAAGCTTAAGCAAAAATCATTTCCCAAAAAGGACATCACTTAATTTTTTAGTGACAAATGCTGCAGCTGGTTTCTATTTATCATTTTCCTTCCTATCAAAGCATAGCCTGATATCTTGCTCCTAAACCACACTCCATCCAAAAAAACTCAAAATCCTTCAGAAGTAGGTGTTCAGAGAAAGCAAACAAAAAGAGGCAAAGACAATATTTAAATTGACTTCAACATCTGAAAATTCAGTCTTCACTCCATGGCATCAAAAAATACCTGAATACTGTTGCCTGGAATAAAACACAAAACTTTTCCAAACAGTGATGATAATATAAATGCAAGTCTTAAACTGACAGCCTTAATGGTGAACAATATGGTGATATGCACACACAATACAGTATTTCTATATTTTTATAAGGTTGATCAGTATACCTATCAAATATTGTCCAGTTAGAAGAGCAGCTGATTAGGTCATTTCTCCCTGGGTTCTGCCCCATTGGAGCTGCCCCCAATTCTTTTTTATCCTACACTTTACTGTGTACTGTGTCTATGATATAAGCTGCAAAACAAAGTGTCCTTGCTAGGCTAAAGGCAAGACTAAACAGAATTTCAAGAATGTATTAGTAAGGGTTTGGTAAACTATGAAGGAGGACAGGAAAAGTACTAGAAGTTAGAACTTTGTATCAACAGCCTACAATGTTGCAAATACATGAAAAATATATAAAAATATAAAAATATTTAGGTATCACAGCCAACTATAAAAAGAAAAACAAAAATCTTCTAAGAGTTTAAACATGGAGGGTCATTAAACGGAAAGCGAAAGGAACTTCTGTACCCACAGCACAGTACATTTTACAGCTTTACATATGCTTATACATGGTCGATCAAAATTTTCTTCTGCAGACACCTAATGCCACCTGATTCCTCCCTCCTTCCTCTATCCTTAACAAGGAAATGACAGGTAGCTAAAAATAACAGCTGTTATATGTAATAAAGATAATTTGCACCGGTAGTGATATGTATGCAATATTTGATATTATTAAGAAGATGTACAAGTCGGCACTGGGGATTGTCCCACATATGTGGAAAATGGCTCCCAATAAAACCTCATTTACAAGTTAATACATGTAGCCTGTCTGGAGATGGGTCGTTTCTCAAGGTGATCCAGGAGCTCCCAGCTATGATAGTCTCGGCAATGACCCAAGATTGTAATCACTGGAACCATCCAGGGGGATACATCTTAATACTATGTTCCCACAACTCCATCAGGAGTGCCCATCGCTCCTGGACACTGGATTGTTCAGCTCAACACATTAAAAAAGAGACTTTATGAATATATGGGACTTTGAATGGAAAGAAAAGGCTGACTGCTGAAATTCCGGCCTCAAGCAAATCAATCCCTATAAGAAGCACTCGTACTGGGAGGGTGGTGTGTGGCATAGGAGACCCTCTGCTGGAGCAGTCAAACCTGTGTCTCACCCAGCACCAAGCCCAGACTCGGCACTGTCCTCTTCTTTGTGGCTGGCTCAGATAGAATTCGACTGCTATAATAAAATTGTTTTTTCATTTTTAATTTGGCTGGGTCAATTTTTACCCATAACACAACTCCAAAATACTTTGTGAAATTACACAGCAAGGCAACCAACAAAATTCCTCCCTTTATCTCACAATTGTACTACTGCAGCACAATAAAATAGCAAGGCAAACCAAAGGTCTAGGCCAGTTCTTAGGTGGCTGAGCTGAGCGACCAAGGGCCGAGCACACTAAAGAATAATTTGGTGCCTCTACTTTGTTCCTCTCTTCTTCCATCCCCTGTGGCATCCGTGAGACTCTTCCTCAACTCCAGCTCATTGACTGATCATCTGATGGCACTTTTTTCCCCAGCTGGTCTTCTGATGGTTTAATTATTTGAATCACCTGAGAACAGGTACAGTCCGAACCCAACACAATCCAGTTAGAGGGGTTCCTCCTATCCTGGAGGGCATCAGTGTGGTAATTTCACACCATCAGTACCACACAAAACCTTTAAAGGCTGACCAAATTCTATCTCAAGAGCAGAGCTGCCAAACTCTCCCCACCCAGTCCCCAATCACTGCAATAAATACCAACTTCCACCCCTATTTATTCAAGAGCAACTTGCATACAGTTACAGCTATAGCACCTGCGCGGTGAGTCAGCTTAAAGAATCCTTTTTCTAGTGCTCATACCTTGAAGTACTTACAGATAAAACTCTGACTACATCAGCCACACTGATTTCAGCTCAGCCCCCCAACAAACTGGGATCCTGGATTACTCTGACCAAGTCAATGTCTTCTTGTGTATCACAAGCAACTTTTCTGCACAGATTTGTGCAGAATTTGATCTCTCTGATCAAGTGATACCACTGATATATAAAATACAAAGAGTGCTTCTCCTTCTCTGAGACCTCACCAGCTAAGTTCTATGATCACATCTGCTCTTTCTAACAAAGCTGGGGAAGACCACATGGTCCATCCTCTAAGCACAACAAAATAGCAACAGATTGGGCTGCTGAAAAAAAAATTATCAATAATAGAATTTTATGTATGAACTCAGTCATCAAACAAGCTTACATAAGTATGTTGTTTATGTGATATCACCACTTAACACCTCAGAGTGCTTCTATTATCTTCCAGTAAAATGGTAGAATGTACTGTATTGGGGGTGAAAAAGTGAAGGTTTTTGACTGGATGCTTCAAGAATAACCCGCAGCCACTTTAGTACATCATTGCAATACCTTAGTTACCAACAGGCCCTATCATCAGATGGGGTCTCGCAGCCACTGCTGGCCGACACCACGGCTCAGCACAAACCCACCGAACTTCAGCAAAACTTTTCCCTCAGCGAACCCAACTCCGCCCCAAAACAGCTGTGCCTGTGCGGGCACTTCCCGCCGCCGCCGGGACCGCGTGTCCCCGGGGCCACGGCTCCTCAGCCCCCAACGCCACGGCTCCCGTGTCCCAAACACCACGGCTCCCGTGTCCCAAACACCACGGCTCCTCAGCCCCCAGCACCACGGCTCCCGTGTCCCAAACACCACGGCTCCNTCAAGAATAACCCGCAGCCACTTTAGTACATCATTGCAATACCTTAGTTACCAACAGGCCCTATCATCAGATGGGGTCTCGCAGCCACTGCTGGCAGATACCACGGCTCAGCACAAACCCACCGAACTTCAGCAAAACTTTTCCCTCAGCGAACCCAACTCCGCCCCAAAACAGCTGTGCCTGAGCGGGCACTTCCCGCCGCCGCCGGGACCGCGTGTCCCCGGCGCCACGGCTCCTCAGCCCCAAACACCACGGCTCCTCAGCCCCCAACGCCACGGCTCCCGTGTCCCAAACACCACGGCTCCCGTGTCCCAAACACCACGGCTCCTCAGCCCCCAACGCCACGGCTCCCCGTGTCCCAAACACCACGGCTCCCGTGCCCCCGGCACCACGGCTCCTCAGCCCCCAGCACCACGGCTCCCGTGTCCCCAGCACCACGCGTTCCTCAGCCCCCGCCCCGGCACAGGCGGCAGAGCTGAGAGTGCTGAGCTCACAGCCTGGGGCTCCCCACGCCGGGAGCTTCGACCGGGCCTCCCCGGGGGATGTGATCACGGCCTCCGAAAGCCACGCCGGAGCCCCCCGCTCCCGCACCTTCCCGCGCTCACCGGCCGCCGGCAGCAGGAGGAGGCGGAGGAGGCCGAGGCCGAGCCCACCCCCACACAGCGCTGGAGGGCGGCCGCGCCCCGGGCGCGCAGGGAGGGGGCGGCCCGCGGGACGCGGCAGGGGCAGCGGGCGGGACGGGGCGGGCCCGGCACGGGACAGCGCTGAGGCGGCCCCCGACCCCCGGTCTCAGTTCCCCATTCCGCGCTTCCCGATCCCTGTTCTCCGTTCCTCCGGCTGCGGCTCCTGTTCCCCGACGCTGTTGCTTGACGGTTTCTTTCTCCCTGAGGGAACACCTCATCGCAATATCACTGAATAATTTAGGTTGGAAAAGTCCTCTGAAGATCATCGACTCCAACCTGTGACTGATCACCACCATGACAACAAATGCCACATCCAGGCTTGCCAAATTGCTTGTTCCGTGAATGAATCGCTTCTGTCAGCATCTAGCTAATGCAGTTATGTCATGCCCTAGCCTTGGAAGGCCAAGCAAAATACAGAAAGGCTGGTGAGAAAATCCCAAGTACCAGAGTTTGGCTTGGAAGGTGACTGGTAAAAGAGGATCACTGGGAACACTCTAAAGGCAGGAGCTGAAGGAAGCAGTCACTCCCAGCAGCGTCACACACCTCCTATTGTCGGACTTCTGGGAAGTTCAGGTTTCTATCCTGATCCTGAGTTGCATTTCAGACCTCAATTCTTCAAGGCTGGATTTCAAATTCCTTTTCCCTATTCTGGTTGTACCTGAGCCATTGTCTGATTGTTGTCCAGGCATTGTCTGATACTGGCTGAGGAAAGGTTCTGGCTGCCTGGGTACTCCACCTGAGCCCATACCTACTGTCGTCTGTCTTCCCCTAGGGACAGCTCCTGCCTCTGGATCAAAACAGTGCTACAGCAGGATTGATGAAGCAGCCCTCTTCTCAGTTTCTGAGGGTAAATGGCCTCTGCTCCGTACTTCCCTTTGGTTGCCTTTTTTCCTTCACAAGACATCCTCTGAGGCCTTCCAGAAGGCATCTCAAGGAGAGGTTTCAGTTTCCCCTACCCTACCTGCTTCCTAGTATATTGCAGAATCTCTTGCTCACAGGAGAGAAACCTCAGGTGTGTTAGGAGATGACTTGGGAGCATTGACAGAGGTAAATAGTCAGCAATCCAGAGGCTGGCACAGGCCTCTTCCACACAGAATCCCTTGTTTATGTCAGGCAAATTCTTCTTCTGTTTGGATCCAGCTGAAGAGCCAGAACAGTTTCTTGACCATGACTTAGATTACAGGTGCAGTGTATGCCAAAATCTTGGGTAGGTCCAGACTTGTGACTAGGAGGATCTGCCAAATTCAAGAGCTTTCCCAAGGTAGTTTCTAGGAAAGGGCTATTTCTTGAGCTGCACCAATGCTATAACCAAATGCATGTGTGAATTGTGGATTGTTTTCCATACCTAACCTGAAGGTTGTATGTGAGCTCAAGAACTGTATCAAGTAGGTTGTTGTCGTATTTGCACACAGGTAAACATTGACAGAAGTGGAGAAATTCTGTTGCTTTCCATGAGTGAATTGTTCAGCAAGTCTACAGCTTCATGGTGCCCCAGGGTCTGGTGTTAAGATGGAAAGAGTGACTGAATTCTGTGGTGTTGTGATTTCCCCATAACTTAGGAGAGAAAAAGACTGCAAACTTATTGTTTCTCAGGCAGAAACCTTTATATTTCGATGAGTCTGCTGCAAGAGGCCTGGGTTTAATAGCAAGGAGAAGCCACACAAGGTCAAACTTTATGACAGAGAGCATTTTGTACCCAGTGACCCAGTGTAATGGTCCTGTGGCCAGATACTTTTGTCAGGCCTAAGAGAGCCTCCCAGTGCACTTTATTGTGCTGGTGAAGTGGGGTCCAGGGCCAGAACTGGAGCACAGTGCTTGGCAGGTCCTGCAGTGGCATCTGGGCTGCCTGTGGGGATTCTGGACCCAACGCTGCAGGCTGGAGCAGTATTGCATCCACACGGGCCCAGGGGTGCTGGACATCTTCTGGATCTGGGGAGACACAAGAAGACCCTGATGGTAGCTGGCTGGTGGTGCTGGGGCTGCTGGAGCTGGGTGCCAGCAAGCTGTGGGGGTGGTGAGGCCCTGGCACAAGTTGCCCAGAGAAACTGTGACTTCTCCATCCCTGGAAGTGTTCAAGGCCAGACTGGATGTGGTTTGGAACAACCTGGTCTCATGGGAGGTGTCCCTGCCCATGGCAGGGAGGTGGAATTAGATTATTTTTCAAGTTCCTTACAGCCTAAATCATTCTGTGAATCTATGTTTCTATCTTGAAAGTGTCAGATGCTCCAGTCCATGCTCCCTGGGCCCATGTGGATCCAAGACTTCTCCCATTTACAATGCCAGACTCAGAATCGCCACAGCCAGCCTGGACACTGCCACAGGACCTGCTGTGGACTGTCTTCCAGTACTGGCCCTGATCCCACTCCACAGGCAGAATTAAGTGCACTGAGAGGCTCCACGCTCATGTGTCGGCTTCCTCCTCCTCCTCCTCCCTCTCCAAGGGCATCGTGCGGGTTCTGGGGTCGTTGTCTCCCTGGAGGTCGGCAGCACCTACCCTGGCCTCCCTCGTGCGGGCTGGCCTTGGCCGCTTGCCCACCCCCACGGCCGAGAGCTTCGCGTCTCGGCGGCCCCGACCCTGCTCGGTTTCCTCGAGAGAAGTTCACACAAGCACCGGAGGGCCGCTGCCGCCGGTCCTTCCCCGGGGGAGGGCACCGCGGCGCGGCCCTGCCCGAGCGCCGAGAGAGTCCCGCCCGTCTCCCGGCAACGCGTCCCGCCCGCCCGCCATGGCCCTCGCGGGTCGCCGTAGCGGCGGCGGCGGCGGCGCGGCCGGGCCGGCGGTGAGTGCGGCGGCGGCGGGGCCCGGTGCCGGCAGCGCGGGGCCCGGTGCCGGCAGCGCGGGGCTGCCCCGGGGCCGGGGGGGCTCGGGGCACGGCCAGCTCGGGGAGTGTCGTCGGGCTACGCGGGAGGCGCCCGGTCGGGGGGTGGCTGCCGCGCCTCACGGGTTGTAGGCAGGTGTAGGGGGTTCTCGGCTCTGGGGTGTTTGTGGGCATGGTAGTCCTTCCGGGTTTGGGGTGTCTGTGCTGGCAGGGAGTGCCGCCCGGCTGAGGGGCTGTCTCTGGGTTATGGGGCGCCGCTGAGCTGTGGGGTGAGTCCGGCTTTGGGGCAGGTTCCTGGGTGTGAGCACGGCACACACCGGTGTTTGTGGGCTGGGGGTGCAGGCAGGCTGAGGTGCCACGCCTGGGGTGAAGGCAGGGCAGTTCTGTGATCTGTGTCGGGCTGTGCTGTTTCCCTTTGCCTGCTGCGAGTCTCGGGGCTTGGCCGGCAGCTGCCAAAGTTGTGTTGGCCGGCCTGGCTTCTCGGCCTCCTCGCCTGCCTCCAGTCGTCTCCACTTCAGCTCTGGCTGCTCCTGTGTTGTGTGCTCTGCCCTGCTGCTGGAAGCTGCTTGCTTTTGCCAAGAGAAGGGAGTTTAGCCCGAGGCCACGCTCAGAGCAGGGCATCTTTGCTTCTGTGAATCGCACCTGAGGCAGATGTGTGTCCCCCTGCTTTGCCCTTTCTCAGACCTGTTGAAAGCAACAACTGCTCCAGCTGAGCAAACACCCTGGCACTGCAGCAGTGCCAGCACTGCATCTCATATGGTGCCAGTGTGGCGGTGCTGCATGCTCTGCCTTGGGCATTCAGGCTGTTTTGGCAGCGCTGGTTACTAGAGTGGCTGCCTTTTAGGAGAGCCACTCCTGACTGCCCTCGGCTGTTTTTAACTTGTTCTGACAGAGGTGAAATCATGTCATGTGTCGAGTACTTTTAGGATAGTACACATTGTGCTGTCTGCTCTGCTTTGGTAGTAAACGATGAGTTTCTCATTATTGTTTTGTCTCTTGTTTTGAGTTCCTGACACATCATTCAGGGCTTTTGATCCAGGCTGGTTTTTGCTTTGTTCCTACTATTTTGCTCAGCAGTGCTGCAGGAGGGAGGCCGGGCAGTATTGCTCCACTGCTGAGTGCTGGGGTGGTCCTGAGGAAAGGGGTTTTAGGAAACTCTTTCCCAAGTCTAGCTGAAGCTCATGTGATTTTGAGTTGTTGTGGCACTTGTGTCACTTGGCACTCTTTTTCTGGAGTCACTGACTTTTCTTGGGTTCACCTTAGTTTCTGCTCTGCATGAGATTGACAACAAGCATTTAATTCCCGCAGCCTTTGCTCCTGTTGCATCTTCCTGTTGCTCTGTGTTTCTTAAAGTGCTTTGACAGATGGATGTCCAGGGAGAGAGTCTTCCAGTGAGGGTGGCTATTGGGGCAGTTGTAAGGAGGAGGGGGGTATAACCTTACATTTGGAAGCTGGATGGAACTCGCCACTTGAATGTATTCCTTTTGTCCTGGCACATGTCAGCTGGGATAGCATTCTAGTGGTACCAGGAAGGTTCCTGAATCTCTAGTCTCGTGGTAAATTTTCACTTGTAAACACTATTGTATATTACTTGTTTCTGCTTTTGTCCGTGACAGCTGGGTCTTTCGCTTTGTAGTTAGTGATATTCTATTGTAGTCCAGTCCATCTGCATTTGTCTCATTCCTTTTTCCTCTCTCTTTGTTTTGGGTAGTGGAATAATCTAAACACCTGCTAAGCAGAAGATAAACCAGGCACATGTTGCTGTCCTAAAGAATACAGAGTGGGAGAGAAAGGCAGAAGTGTTGTCAGGACAGGAGCAGCAGTGCGGTGCGGTTCCAGTCTCAGTGGTGCTTGGCAGTGGTGCTGGCTGTACCTCTATGCTGGTTCAGTGCTTCTGGCCCAGCTTGGTGTGAAGGTTGCCTGTGTTTCTGGCTTGGTTGTGCCTGTGCCTTTGTTTGGAGTGGAGTTTCTGTGGCTGTTTGGAATGTGGCTTAATGGTTCATCTGCTTTGGGAATGTTTTGAGCTGTTGGACAACAGTGGGACTGAGAGCAGGGTTGGCAGTTAGTTGGTTTGGGGCTCTTGTGTAATGTCATTAGGACATGCAAGGACCGTGGCTATTTTATGTCTTATCCCTGTTGTTTAATCCAGGTAAACCAACCTTCAAGAAAGGGAGAAGTCTA